GAGCCATCTGGGCCCAGTGGCCAGATACGGATCAGGATGACTGGAGGTGGCCCAGGATGCACATGGAGACCTTGGCCTTTTCAAGCTGAGGTCTTTCTCAGGTTTCAGTATGACTGAGGCAGTGCCCATTCAGTGATGGGTACATATTCTTTAGTCACCAAGGTTGCCCAGAGAGGTCTAGAAGGATGAGCAATTAGAGAAGGCCACCGGATCAGGGTTTCTTTGGAGAAAGCTGTTTGGGTGGAAGAGAAGGAGAAATGAAGTGGGGGCATGGATTCCAGTGGCCCCAAAAGGAAGAGGGGGAGACTGGACATGTGGGGGTGAGGCGGGTGGGGCAGCGATCTGTTGGAGGAGAACCAGTGAGGGAAGGAGGGGAGGGACCCAAGGGGTCACTGTGAGTGTCCTCACGGTTTTAGGCCTCAGCTTTTTCTGTAAGACAGGAGGCAGGGTCTGAGCTGAGAGAGTTGGGGGAGCCATGGGAGGTTTGAAAAGGAAGTCTCACAGTGTCCTCTATGTCCTCTATTCTCTCATCCCCTCTCTGCACACCTGTCATCTAATTCACCAAGCCCTTTGAAGCATCTTCCCTGCCCCTGTGGGGTAGAGGTGAAAATGAAGCCCTCCCTGTCTCCGTTGGGGGGGGTGAGAGAGCCCCCATCTCAATCCCTGCCCTCAGGGCCACCACGGGATCACCAAGGGAGATAGGAGGGAAATGCGTGCCTGCTATCAGGTGGGTGGTCAGCAGAGGGGGTAGAAGATGAGGAGTCTGGTGGGTCACTTAGCCCTTGGGGAGTGGAGAATGCACTGAGGGACCTTTGGAGGTCACCTTGTTCAGGCTGTCCAGTTGACCCAGGAATAAACTGAGGAAGGCCAGAGCAAGGAAGGGTCTTACCCAAGATTGTTCTTGGGTCTCTGGCCCGACTCCCAGTAGGTCTGGGCTTCCTCCAGGCCCTGCACAGAGGCCTGCTGGGGCACGTGCGGTAAGTAGAGTTGGGGGCCAGCCTTGGCCCTCTGGCCCACAGTCCCTTTCCACCTGAGGAGAGGTCCCTATCTTCAACAATGGACCGTCACCTGGAAGATGCACTAGCCCATTGGATGGGATCCTGAGCTTAGAATCTGGAGGACCTATGTATAGAGCAAGTCACTTCTTTCCATCTCAGTTTATCCAGCTATAAAATGGAGTTAATAATGTCATCTACCTCTCAGGATCGTGGGGATCAAATGAGATACACCACATGTAAATGCTTAGCAGCCTTGGTTAAAAGCACCATGTGAGTGTTAGCTGTTGTCACAAAGGACAGTCCCCTCATTTTACAGATAAGGCAGCTGAGGCAGTCCAGAGCTGGGTCACGTAGCCAGTGAGTTGATAGTGACACCAAGTTGGAACCCCCCGCCACTCCTCCCCCCCCACCACACACAGACACACATAGACACACGATGGAAAACTGCACAGCCTGGTGTGATGGACTCCAGAGGCCTGGAGTCTCGGCTGCAGTAAGCGACGAAGCTGATAGAATATCCCTGCTGCATTTCCTCCTGTGGCCATCAGCCTGGGTGGGAGAGGGAGACCCAGGCTCAGAAACGAGACCAGAGCGTAAGCTGTCTCAGAGGGAACATGGGCCCTGAGCATGCCCCAGACTTGGGCCAGTGGGCTGTGGCCACACCTGCCTGCCCAAGTACACACACCTCAAAGGGCCACCAGATCATGCAGCCAGCTCTTCATGGGCACACGCTTCAAGCCTTGAGCCATGGATAAGGGTGCCTGGCAGGTTGGGTTGGAGCAGCTGCTTCCCCTGGAGAGGGGTGGTGGGGGTGAGTGCTGTTCTTTTACTGGTCATTCCAACACCCCCTTCCCCCACCTCGCTCTGGTATATACCCTTCAGGGAATATCTGGACATGGCTTTCAGAAAAAAAATATATATACACATACATACGCATACATGTAATTTGTTATAGGCAACATAGAATATTAATTAAAATCACTGAAACTTGGGTACTATGGAGGGCAACAAGCATTAAGTGCTTATTGTGTGCCAGATATTGTGCTAAATGATACAAACACAAAGAGAAAGATGATGCTTACCCTCAAGGAGCTTACATCTGAATGAGGAAAGCAATACAGAAGGTGCCATGAGTTCGTTGGCATTGTGTCCCAGTCTGGCTGCTCAGAAGCACGACTGGAAATGACGGGAGGAAGAAGGGGGCTGGCATGGTGCTGGCGGGCTCCAGGGGGAGGAGGAACTTGGATGTAAATTTCTTTTAAAATGTGTTCTTCTAAATGAACAAAACTCTTTTCTTTCCCACTTACCCCCTCCCCCTACTGTTAAGTTGCCGTATGGGCTGTATTTCTCAGTCTGCACCCGGAGCCTCTGGGTCAGGGGATGGGGAGCTCTGGGATTAGGGCTGGCATTGTGCTGCTCAGTGTTCTTTCAGCTTTCAAAATAAATGAGCATCAATAAATGAGGAACACAGGAAGCTCCTTTCCTAACCCTTCCTCTGGCAGTGCCAGGGCGGACTGGGTCTTCTCTGACTTTCTGCCCTCCTTGGGTAGAGCCTGCGTCCTTACTTAAATGGACTGTTGACCCTTTTGTGAACAGGCCGCTGCAGCCCAGTCTTCATTTCTGAAGCCCACCCCAGTGTATCCAGCAGACCTGCCATTGTGGATATGTAGGGGGCTACCAGTGGTTGGCCATGACAACGATTGAGAGAAAAGCTTCCTTTTGGTTTTTTATGACACTTCCAAAGTTTGTTCCCAACAAAAGAAAAATGGGGTTGGAGTCTTCCTCCCGACCCAAAGAACTGGGCATGGTATGCCAGTATTCTGCCTTGGCCCCCCTGTGGTTTGTGGTAGGCGGCTGCTAGGCCTCGGAAGAAGGACAGAATGGGGAGGAGCCACTTGGGGAGAGGGCGCAGGGACACTCATGTACCTCTCTAAATGCCAGTGTCCTGGGAGAGAGCTCCAGGTCTCCTGGCTCTACATCAAGGGCAGATGCACCCTACTGCAAGAATAGAGAACCCTCGACAGTGGGAGGTGGGGGCCAGTGCTTAGCTGACACAGGACTTTCAGGGCAAGTGGTGAGGGGCGTCTCTCAGGAATAGCATCATTCACCAGGAGAAAGCCCAAAGTGATGGATATTCATCTTGCCTTTTTTTGAAGATCTCCAAAGTGGAGCGACTCAGCCCTTCCCAGTGAGCCCATTCCCATGGGGGGAAACTCACCTTATAACCCTTATTCTTTCTGACCTCAAGCCTGATGGTGGTGCCCTTGAAGGTAAAAGACAGAAGAGTTTAGGGAGAGAGGTGATGGGGTTTAAGATGTCTACCAGGGGCAGCTAGGTGGCGCGTGGATTGAGCACCAGCCCTGAAGTCAGGAGGACCTGAGTTCAAATCCGACCTCAGACCAAATACTTGACACTTACTAGCAGTTTGACCCTGGGCAAGTCACTTAACCCCAATTGCCTAAAATAGATGTCTACTAGACATCCAATATGAGATTTCCAATAGGCAGTTAGAGATGTGAGACCGGAGGCCTGTTGAGAGAGTGGGGCTGCACAGGTAGCTCTGAGAGTCATCTGCATAGAGAGGATCATTAAATCCTTGGGAGGTGTGAGATCACATTTTCACAGCATAGATGGGGAAGAGAAGAGAGCTGGGACCAGAGCCTTGAGGGATTCCTGTGGTTGAAGATCCAGCAAAGGAAAATACAGGGTGGTTGGCCAGGTAGAAGGAGAACCAGGAGAGGGCAGTGTCTTGAAAACCTCGAGAGGAGAGTGCCTAGAAGAGGATGAGGATAGAGAAAAGACCACTGACAAGTTTAGGATAGCAGTTATGGTGGAAAGGTGAGATCAGAAGCCAGACTGCAGAGTTAAGAGGAATGGAAGTGAGCCATCAGTTCTGGGAGTTGAGTCACAAAAGGGAGGAGAGTGGTGACAAGCATTCACAGGGATGGATGGATTGATGGCGGAGACATAGGCATGTCCTGGGAGAACCTGGGGATTAATGAGAAAGTGGATATGACGGGAGAGTATGGGGTCACGTGTGTGTAGAGGGGCTGGCCACATCTTGATGGGAGACAGGCGTGAGGGAGGAGATGGGGGTAGGAGGCACTTGGGTGACGGGAGATGATGGGAGGAGAGGAAGCTCTCTGGGAATGGCCTCCACTTGTTCTGTAGAGTATGAGGTTAAGGTCCTCAGCTGAGAAGGGGGAGGAGCCACTGGGGAGAGTGGGGCAGTGAGCCTCGGAGGGTGGTGTGAAAGGTTGGCCTGGCAGTGGTGAGGGCCCAGCTGAGAGGATGGGACGTTAATCTGGAGTGGCCTAGGTGGCATGGTTTCCTGATTTTCTCCTGATTTCAGTGGCACATGAGTAGGAGCAGGGTGGGCGTGATCCAAGGCTAAGGCTTGGCAGGACACAAGAAAAGAGGACAATGTTGAAAGAACTAGTTTGCCAAGGGGTCAGGATGGGGAGAGGAGGAGAGCATAGCCGGTGCTGAGCTGATGGCCCAGGAAAGTATGGAGGGGTGGAGTGCGTGCCCCAACTCTCATCTGCTCAGCTGTCAAAGGGATCGTCCTAAAGCTCAGGCCTGACCATATCTCCCACCCCCACCAAGAACAAATGCAAAACGCTCTCTCGGACACCCGCTTTTCCAGTCTCCTCATACCTACTACTCCAATCCCACTCTGAGATCTTCACACCTGACCCTCCATCTTCTGATTCTGAGCATTTTCTCTGGCTATCCCTCATGTCAGAAATACTGTCCCTCCTCATCTCTTTTTCCTGGCTTCCCTCCCCCATCTTCTGAGGTTCCCAAAGTGAGCTATACCACCCTCTGGGGGGCACTGGAATGATCCGGGGAGACAGTAGTAGCCTCAGGTGCAATTGGGGGGATATTAAATAAAAATAAGGGGGCCCTGGAAGCATAAGGAAAGAAGATTTTGAAAAACTTCCTACATGTTTCATCTGTTGTGTACAGAGTTAAAAGTTGTAGTGATTACATCATTTTCCAAATAAACACAAAATGCCTGTTATTTCTGATAGTGACCATTGGACAGGGCTAAGGACTTTGATGGCATGAGCTTTCTTTTGTGGGTCTTCAGTGGCTATGGCCACAGCCCCCACATTTTCACAGGATTTGCTTCCCAGGATGATGCTGAAGGGCGCAGGGCTTGAAGTGGACCTGGCATCTGTGGGGTGCTGCCACCCCTGAGACTCTTGGGCTCACCTACATGGCAATTGAAAAGGGGGATCTTTCTCCACAGTAATTGCTCCACACAATTTTGGTTGCTGGGCCCAGGCTGGAAGCAGGCCTGGTGGTCTAAGGCTTGGCTTCCTGGGTTTGCAGTCCTGAGCTATCTCCACCTAGAGTCTCAGGGAAGGTCCTAGCTGAGGTAGAGGGGAATAGTCCATTGAGGGCAGGGACTCTTTCCTTCTGTGCACTAATGAATGGGGAACCAGGTAGGTGTGTGTTTGTGGGGTGGTGGTGATGGTGTTTCTAGTATGGCTGTTCAGGAGGGAGGTAGCCTCGTCTGTCATGGTCCACTTTTCTCCCCAGGTCTGTGTCCTAACCAGGTGGACCTTCTCTGGAAGACTGAGCTTCATAGGAGCAGGCATGGCCCCTGTGCTGTAACAGCCCTCCAGGTGAGTGAGCTACTTGTTGTTTGTGGGCCCCCACCCCTCAGGTGACCACTTTGTGCCAGGTGGCTTGGTTTTGTCCATGGATCCTTCTCATTTCTCACCAGATTTTCTATGCATTTATTTCTTCAGTTAACTCTTTTTTTCTCTGTCTTGAATAATATTTTTTCCCCAATTACATGTACAAAAATTTCTAACATTCATTTTGAAAATTTTTAAGATCCAAATTCTCTTCCTCCCGTCCCTCTTCCCTGAGACAGTATGTAATTTGCTATAGGTTATATATGTGCAATCCTGCAGAACATTTCCATGTTAGTCATGTTGTGAAAGAAAACACAGACCAAAAAACCCGTGAAAAAATAAAGTGAAAAATTGTATGCTTCGCTTTGCATTCAGACTCTATCAGTTCTTTCATTCATGGTTGATCATTGTACGATGTTGCTGTTACCATGTCCAGTGTTCTGGTTCTGCTCACTTTGCTTTGCATCTGTTCTTATCAGTCTTTCCAGATTTTTCTGACATCTTGCTTGCCATTTCTCACAGGACAATGGTATTCCACTACAATCATAGGCCACAACTGGTTTAGCCATTCTCCAATTGGCGGACATCTCCTCAATTCTGCACATATATGATTTCTTGAAATACGATGTCAAGCACTTTTTTAATCATTGTTTTCAGAGAGTCAATATTTTTCATATCAGCTAGCTTAGATTTTCTGTCTTTTGATTTTGTTCTAATATGTCTTGTTGGGTCCTGGAACAGAATTCTCTTTGGTCTGTTGTGGTTTTCAGGGTATCTGTTAGGTGGATAAGGTTCGCCCCTTTCTCCTTGCAGTGCTTTTCTTAAGTACTTTCCTTTCCCTCAATATCTTCTAGGCATTCATGTGATCCTTGCAGAATGACTATTTCTTTTTTTCCTGTTATGTACAGTTTTTTATTTTTTTTTAACTTTTACTTTATTTTCACTTCAATGAGCTTTTGAGTTCTCAATTTTCTCCTCCTCCCTCCCCTCCCCCTTCCCCAAGACGACATGCAGTCTGATATAGGCTGTACATACAGATTCCTATTAAACATATTTTCACATTAGCCATGTTGTAAAGAAGTATTAGAACCAATGGGAGGAACCATGAGACAGAAGGATCAAAACAAAACAACAAAAGAAAAAAAGAGATCAAACAGTCTGCTTTGATCTGCATTTGGACTCCATAGTTCTTTCTTTGGAGTGGATAGCATTTTACAATGTTTGTTTCTTTGTTTCTTCCTGCAGCACCGGTGGAGTTACTTGTATCTTCGTTGGGGGCATCTCTAGATTTGCACCGATGGCGGTGTCTTCTTGCATTTACTCCTTTCTCCAGCGTTTACTTGGTTCTGAACTGGGACTTTGTGCTGGGGCTAGGCTCTGGCATGTGCTCGGTCTTGCCCTGGGGCCTGGGTTGGCATACTGAGCCCACTTGACGGTAGAAGGAGCCCTCTCTTGGGTGCCTCCCTTGGAGTGCTTGGGAACGATTCTGGGGCCAATGTCCCTGCCTTGGGGCTTTCTCAGAGAAGCCCTTGGCTCTTGTTTTTCCAGACCCAGAATTTTCAGGACACACATGTCTTGTCTCTGCCACTTGTCTGCTTTGTGCTGGGGCTAGCTTTAGTGGTGGCCCCTTTCTTTGGCCTGTGGGCATCTGGAGGATTTTCTGTGCACTCCTACCTACAGGTGGAAGAAGTCATATGCTGTAGTTTTTTACTGGATTTCTTGATCATTATTTAGTCTGGCATGAACTCTGGGGTTTTGCTGGAGTTAGCATATAGAAGCTGGCCATTGTGCCTCCCCTCTGGCCTTACCTGGGACTGTTCCCACCCTCCCTCCATCCACCATATGTCCTATGAATCTTCCCGTCATTTTGGGCCTTTTTGTCCCGTGCTTCTCCCATCTTTCAGCACTCACTGAGACCTGGCTCCTCCCCCCCCCCCAATGAGGGCACATTCTTTGTTTTTACCTTTTCTAGAACCAGTGGCATTTTTTTTTCCATCCCTCCCTGCAAATCCACTGCTCCTGATCTCCATGCCATTTCCAGGTTCTCCCTCTGTTAGTACCATTCAGCAATCTTTTTATGCAAATCTATCGCCCATTCTAGATGGATCCAGATGGATCCTGGTGGCTGTTAGCCTTTCGACCTCAGAACATTCTCTCTTCTAATTCAGGGCTGACAGTCTATGACTTTACCCCAATTCCTGACCTCATACCAGAGGACTTCAGTATCCACACTGATGTCCCCTCAAATGCCCTGGCCTCCCACTTCCTCCTGCTCAGTCCACATGACTTTCTTCTTACCCAGCACACAAGGACGGCCACACATTGGATCTTGCCATCACACGCACTTAACTCCACTTCCTTACTGGGTCATAATCTTCCATCATTCCGTCTCTTCCTGTGCCCTTCGTCTCCTTGACCTATTCTTTAGGCATACCTCGGCCTTGGATCTCTCTGCACTGGGATACTTTCCAAGGCTATTCCTCCTACCATGGCGGTGTTCTCCTTTCCCAGTCTTGGCCCTTGGGGAGCCAGTTCAGCTTTATGCCATCTTCTCTTGAATTCCTTGCTTCCCCTCCTCCTCCCTACCTTATCATCCTGTCATTGATTACACCTTCACTCAGTTGGATTCAACTCTCTATTTACCCATCCATAATCTCTCAACTGACTCATTGGACATCATCGCAAACTCATCATGTCCAGATCTGAACTCTTTATCTTTCCCCTGTCTTCTCTATTACTGTCAAGGGCACGACCATCATCCCATTTACTCTTTCTCTCACCCCCCAACATCTAGTTTTGTGGCCATGGCCTGCAGATTGGCCCTTCCTAACAGCTCTCAAATACACCCCCATCCTGTTAGCAGCTGCTGGTCAGTCTCCTAGATGGACCCAGTCCATTCTCCAATGTGCTGTTAAACTAATCTTCCTAAGGCTCAGGTCTGGCCACATCACGCCCCTGTTCAGTCCACTCTAGGCTCTCTCAGGCACCTCTGGGATCACATACAAAATGCTCCGGATGGCATTCAAAGCCCCTCCTACCTTTCCAGTCTTCTCACACCCTCCAGGATGCCCCTAGCTGTTCCTCCATCTCCTGCCCCTAGGCATTTTCACTGCTGGGAAGGCTCTCCCACCTTATCTCCATCTCCTGCCTTTCCTCCCAGTACCTCTGTTTTTTTTTAAGCAGTTGAGGTTAAGTGACTTGCCTAGGGTCACACAGCCCAGTGTCCCAGTGTCTTCCCTTTGTTGACCCTAGAACTTAACACAGTGCATGGCACATAGTAGGCATTAAATCAATGCTTGTTGACTTGTTGACTTGCCTTGGTTTGATGGTCACCACCCAGCTCTGAACAGCTGGAGAAAGACATCCAGTCAAGATTGACGGGTGGTGTTGTCTTCTCTCAGGGGCCCCTCGAGGCGGTGATGCAGCCACTCAACTTCTTCCGAGCTGACCAGAGAGGTTCCAAACCTTGAGAGGCTCCCCGCTTCCCCCAGCACCCTCTCTTCCCCTCTCGGCTGAGGACCCAGGCTCGGAGCACACTGTGGGCTCCCTCTAGCCTCTCAGGTCCTCTGCCGTCCAGCACTGTCCCCCATCCTTCCCACTCTTTCACCTGTTTTGAGTCTCTTCTCTCCTGGTTGCTTCCTGCACACATGCCCCCTTTGGTCCACTCTCCTGGATACCATCCCATATCTGTCCTGCCTTTTGTGGCCACGCCACTTGAGAAGGCCAACTACGATAAGAACCTTCCATTGCTTTCCTCCCACTCTCTCTGACTTCTCCACAGTCTCACCTCACCATTCCACCCAAACTGCTCTCTCCAAAGTGACCAGTGGTCTCTTAGTAACCAAATCCAATGGCCTCTTCTCAGGCCTCAGTCTCCTGAACCTCTCTTCGGCCTTGGGCACTGTGAGTCTCTGTCTCTGTCTCTCTAGCCTCTCCTCTTCTCTTCTCTCTCTCCAGGTTTTTCTGAAATCATCCTGCTTGTCATTTCTTATAGCACAGTAGTATTCCATCATAGATGGACCTAAACTTTTTCAGCCATTCCCTAATTGATGGGCATCCCTTCAATTTCCAATTCTGGGAAAATAGTTTTTTAATAATTTCTTTTTCATGTTATGATTTTTATATCCTTTTTCATTATTCCTTTGGATAATTTGATGTTTCTGTCCTTAAAAATCAGCTTAGCTAATGGTTTGTTTTATTAGCTTTTAAAAATAATTCCTGGTTTTATTCAGTTAATGGGTTTCTATTTTCAATTTTATCTCTGATTTTCAGAACCTCTGTTTTTGAGGGCTTTAAAAACATGTTGGTTTTATAGTTTTTTAGTTGCAGAGTGTAATCATTTCTCTTTTGTTGATGAAAACATTTCTATATATGTATGTAGGTAAGTAGATATATACATGTGTGTGTTTGTCTCCCCCCACACACACGCTGACTGCTTTGGCTGCACATGACAAGCTTTGGTGTGTTGACACAGGCGTGGCCTAGCAGATAGAATGCTGGACGCTTGCTAGCTGTGCCCCCTCCCAAAGCCGTCTCTGTCTTTGTGTTTGTGCCGTCTAGACTTTGTAGGTGTGAGCTGCCTTCCTCACTAAAGTGGAAGGCCACAGCAAGCAGAGACTGTTTATTCTTTGTACTTGTCTCTCCAGCACCAAACATTGCATAGAAAGTACATAATAAATACTTGTGGATTGATTGTGAGACCCCAGGCAAGGAGGTCACTTAACCCTCTCAGCCTCAGTTTCTGCATCTGTAAAATGGGGTTGTTGTGAGGATGGAATGAGACCGCCATTGTAAAGCATGCACTGATCAGGGACTGTCTGGTGCTTCTTTTGTATCCCTAGCACTTAGCAGGTGCTGAATAAATATGCATCAATGGACTGATTCCCTGATCAGAATTCGGTCTGGTGCACTGCATTCCTAGAACTGGAATTTCTAAGTTCCTGCTGATAATTGTAATGGAACATCTGGAGCACAGATGTGGGGCA